CCACAGCCTCAACCTCCTGGGTTCAGGTGATCCTTCTGCCTCAGCCTCCTGAGCAACCACAACTATAGGCACATGCCACCACACCCGGCTAATTTATTTATTTTATTTTTATTTCACAAGATTTTCATTAGATGGACATTATTTTTTTGTAGAATGAGGATTCATGATGTTGTCTAGACTGGTCTTGAACCCCCGAACTCAAGCAATCTTCCTGCCTCGATGATAGACATGAGCCACTGCATCTGGCTGGTTTCTTGGATTTCTGTCTTGTCTTTCCAACAACCCTATACGCTTTTGAGGGCAGGGGTCATGTGTCTTTCCCAAAAAAAAAATACTATTAATGCACATAAAGGAGCTCAGTAAGGAAGGAGGAGAGGAGAGAAGAAAGGGAAGGAAGAAATGACAGCAATAAACCTACTTTGTCTGACGGTTGGAGGCTCTTTTTTCTTTCTTAAGCTAAGCTTCATAATAACTTGCCACTTGTGGGACTCCTCAGGCTTCCAAGGAGATGGGAACCTTGGCTTCTGCCCTCCGCTCCCACCATTTTCCAGATGATAATGGACACTGTTCAGAACCAGTGGTGGGGGGAGGGTCCTACAGCAGGACTGTGAAGGGAGACACAGCTGATGGGGAGCAAAGTGTGCCAGGGAGCCAGTGGCAGAAACAGGGGCCGCCTTGACCTCTAGATGGGTCATTGGACCCGGCAATGGAGTGGTAGGAACCAGAACTGGCAGCTCACACAGGCAAGCTCTTGGCCCTCATGCTTTTGCCTCTGGTGTCTTCTACTCTGCCTCGGGCTCTCAGTTGCTGGTCATGGACATTGTGCCCCGCCCCCGTCCTGGTCCTTCACCTTGGTAGCAGGGCCTGGCTGAGCAGTGAGCTAACCTCCGCCACTTCTCCAGGCTTGGCACATGACAGGGAGGGGATTTCCTTTGGGGCCTCAACTGGGAATTGTTCTCTTGCCCCACGTCAGCTGGCTGCTGGGGGAGTCTTCAGTGGTTTCATTTCCCTCATTTGGAATGGAGTTTTTAAGAACCAAAAACTAGAACCGGAAAGAGGAGAGGCCTCCGCCTACACTGGTGCCAGTCAACCCCTCCCGATGCCAGTCCTGGAAGCCTAGGGGTCAATAAAAAGACAGAGCAACGTGTGTGTGGCAGGGCCTTGCGGAGGGTCCTTCCAGCATGTTTACCCCATGTGGGCAAGGAGGTGAGTCTCAAATCCTGAGGTCAGCCTCTCTTGCTCCCTACTGGCCCCTTCAGTCATTGAGTCCAGTGAGTGACCTCTGTGGGAACACTGCCTCTTTCTTTTCTGGAAACACTCACATTATCAATGTATAATCAAAGAGTTCACGTTTTGCAAAGATAACAAGATGCTACAGAAGTATCCTCCCCATGCCAGGGCATGCCTGGCAGGAGGACAGCGAGGGGAAGGGGCACCCACAACTAACCATGGTCCAGGTCAGGGCAGTCCCGAAGGGAATCATGGAAAAACAGAAGCAAGGTGCTGGAAGAGTCGTGGTTCAGGAAGAGAACACAAAGAACACAACTGGTGCTTAGTTCCTGCCCAGGCTTCTAGAAGGTGGCATCTGATCTGGAGCCTCACGGGAGAGGATTGGGCGTGGGGTCGGTCAC